ATAACAAAGGGGATAAAGGACAACCTTGCCTAGTACCTTTTTCTATTTTAAATTGCTCTGTTAATCCCCCATTAATTATAATTTGTGCTGATTGTTGCTGATATACAGCTTTAAGAGCACACAAAAATTTATCTCCAAAATTCATTTCCTCTACCACTTTCAATAAAAATTTCCAATCTAATTGATCAAAAGCTTTATCCGCATCTATAAATATTAAGGCAGCAGGAATTTGATTATTCTTATCCAAATATTCTATTATATTAACCAATTGTCCTACATTATTTTTCATATATCTTCCCGTTATAAATCCCGATTGATCAGTATGGATCAGTTGTTTCAGAATCTGCATTAATCTATTTGCCAAAATCTTTGCAAAAATCTTATAGTCCGTATTTAACAAAGATATAATTTCCTATATCTATAATTTCTAGGCTGGGACAAGTCCTGATCATCCTTTGGAATCAATGCTATGAATGTTAAATTTACTCAAGCACAAAACTTGAGGGAAAACTTTTATAAAATGTTTTATAGATGGCATTTGGATCCTAAAAAGTTATCTTGTATGTATCCGAATTTGCAACCCAAATGTTGGAGATGTGGTTCCTTGGATGCAACTTATTTTCATGTTTGGTAGACTTGCAAAAATATTAAAGCTTTTTGGATTATGATTTGGTGGAACATTCAAAAGGTTTTTAGAAGGAAAATTAAATTTACTCCACAATTATTTCTTTTGGGAATTTTTGTGGATTTTGATGTTAAAGAAACTATTTTAATGCTGAATTTAATAACAGCAGCAAGACTATTGGTGGGTCAGTATTGGAAAAAAGATTCTCTGCCTTCTTTGGAAGAATGGGTGTTCAAGGTTTCTAACTTAGCAGAAATGGCTAAAATTTCTGCTTACTTAAAGGACCATTCACAAAAGAGATATGTTTCTGTATGGAGAAGATGGATAGAATATATTCAGAAGAAGTATGGAACAACAAAGTTTCATTTATTTTATGAATAATGGATTTTTATTAAATTATGAATTCAAGTTTGCAGAGAGTTAAGGGTTATTAGGACTCCGCTTATTGTATAAGTAGTAAATTTAAGTTGACTATGTTTAGTTTTCTTTTTTTTCTTCTTTTTTTTGTAACCCTGTATTGAGCTCTGGGAAGTCAGGGGGGGGAGGGGGTGGTGGGAGGGGGGAGAGGAGAGTATGGGTAGTATTTTCAATAGTTCAGATTTTGGTGATAGAGGATTGCTTGGGCATTTTCCCTCAGACTGCATCTGATTGAGAAGAAGAGAAGAGGGATAAGTAAGTAGAAAGATGGAGGAGAGAGGGAGGGGAGCAGAAGAGGAGGTAGAAGGAAGGGGGAAGTGAAGAGATGAGAGGGGGATGCGGTCTGGGGGGAAATGGGTGAGCAATGGTGGAATTTGTGTTCTATTTTAACTTCTTATGTATCTGATTTTTTTTTCTTATGATTGTAACGAAAATAAAATAATAAAAATTGGAAACAAACAAACAAAAAAAAATAGAAATGGAAGACTACATCAATTCCCACAATGGAGGAATGGTTACAAAAACTGATGGAGTAGCAGAGATGGCTAAGCTGAGTGTACTGATTAAAGAAAAGAATACAAATACTTTTATTGTTACAAGGAAACCTCTTCTAGACTTTGTGTTTGAGGTGGAAAAAATGTAACTTTGATTTTGGATTTTACCAATTATATAGACTTGATGTTATTAAAATGTCTAGTTTATATTATTTTGTAAAAGTAAAAAGTTGAGGTTTGATGTTTGATGTTTATTGCACCAAAGGAAGTTGGAAGTCAATGCCTTTTTTTCTCTCCCTTACCTCACTTTTCTATTTCCTTTCTTCTTCCTTATCTTTTCTTCTATTTACTTGTATCATATATTATAAATCAATAAAAGTTTTGGAACTGAATCCAGATCTATATCACCATAAATAATTTTATACCAGCTCTTAGTTTAGCAAATGCTCTTCCTGCACAAGAAAAAGCTCATAACAGCTATATAGCGACTATACATTTATTATTCCTGTGATTAGAAATAATATCAAAATTCCTTTTTACTCAAGTAAAAACCTATGTTTTTTCCACAATTCTTTCCCTTTTGAACCCACAAATTATCACAATAGAGAAAATGTGTTTACTTGCAAGAATTAGTTAACTTTCATTGGGGTTCATCCCTAGATTATAAAGGACATATTTTGTGGTACAAAAATTCCTCATGATGGACATTGCTCTTATTTTGAAGTCATTCTTCTGCTGTATAAAATAAGATTCACCCATTTCCTTGTAATGGGCGATTACCTAATATGTGTTAACAATGATCATAAAAGTTCCGGGTTCATATGGGAAATAGCATAGAAAAAATTCTGATAGGAAATGGTTATCATGGATGATAGTGAAGAGATAATAAATTTACTCTATTTTTTTCTTCCCCGTGCAGTCCCACCCCAGCCAAAGACAACAGAAAGACAACATGGAAATTGCAGTTGCATTTATAACAGTTACTTTTATTAATTTAATCATAGGCTGTATGCTTGAGATATTCTGGAAAGCCCCTTTTATGAAAGATTCAAATACAAGTTCCATTGCTTTTAGCATTTGGCATGCAGAAAAAAATGGGTATGCCTCGTGTGAAATTCCTGATACTATAGTTTTAGTATTCTTCTTTGGATTGATTCTATCTCATAGTATACATGATTTCTTTATATTGTATGATTTAAAGGCCTTTGAAAAAAGCAAGAGCCAAAATTGTTCAGGCCAGAGACAAGTTGTTATGGAATCCAAGAAAACTTCGGAAGAAGTAAGTTTGTTCCCAGTCTAAAGGTGTGTCTGTGGCAATTCAATCGTTTTATGTTACTTTATAAATATATATTAATATATTAATATTTAATACATTATTATTGCTGCTATTACTATTATTACATTATTATCATATACACAACAGAGCTTCAGTTCTTTAGCTAGTGTTGCCTTCATATGTATTGAATTCTTCCCAAGAATCTAGGATGTCATAATGTTTTGGCGTAGTATATGTGCAGATCCAAGCAGTGTACCCTTTTGTAATTGATAGAAATGTTGTCAATGTGCAGATTTTCTAAGTACCATCTAAGATTTTTGACATGGCACCTAGTGTGCAAACACTGGGACCACCATGGCCGGTTTATGCATAATCTTTCAATTTCAATTTTCAGATTTTGATACTTGTGATCTTTTCCAATTCTTTGCCTTGTAACCTACTGTCCTCTGGTATTACTACATCAATTATCAAAATTTCTTATTATCGACCACTCTTAATTCTGCTATGTTATGTCCCAAAACATTATCAGTTCATATTTGGAAATATTTTAACTAGGTCATTTTCAACTCTTTTCAAATCTGTGCTGCCATCAATTTTTCATTACTGGCACAAAATGATTTTTATAAATGTTCCAGTAAATAATTTTGTAGGTGCTATGTGTTATGTTATTATTTATAATCAGTTTGTAAAATCTTCTGACATGAATTGAGTATATAATCTATTGTTTCTTCTGCTTCTTTGCACTATCTGCATTTTGAAAAATTTGATGATTTTTCAATTCATTGATTGGCTTAGTTTGAATAACTTGCTCTTAGCAGCCAAAATCAAGCTTTTTTTTTTTTTTTAAATATTCCAATTGTAAACCATGGCCAGGTTTTGTCTGTATCCACTTTCTCCATGGTCTTCAGTAGAAATTGACCATATAATGCTTTTCCTTGGATTGCTTTTTGTGTTTTTATATTTATATTTTGTCTTCAGTAAATAACAAACTTCCAAGTTTGTAATTTCCATTTTTTCGTATAAATTTTATTAGTTTTTATAGGGTTAGGAATGAGGTGGGATTGGGATTGGGATTTGGGTTAGGGTTGGGATTAGGGTTGGAGTTGGGGTTAGGGTTTTTCCAAATAACATTCTCAATATTTAGCAAACAGCATAATGTCTGGGTTCATGTGTTTAACAAGAAATAATAGATAATGGTTAATTATCATAAACAATATGTTAATTAATCACTCAATAGTCTTCTTCTTACTAATATAGTAATTGTCTCATTCTCCTAGGAATTTGTTTGAGGACTACAATTCCTTTCTCAGAATCTTGTCTCTTATAGATCTTTTGAGAAATCTAACATGTACTTTCCTGGGGACTTTATTTCTTCTAGCATAGTTTGAGTTAACTCAATAGATCTGATCTAATTCTTCTTCCATTTGCTGTTTCCCAATTACTAATGCGTCTGCCAATAATTCCGTTATCAAATTTAGGATATCCTCTTCCTTATCTTCCATTATATTTTGAAATCTTAAAAAGTATGAGGCTCTTTCCCTCTCCATTCCAGCTATCGAGTCTTCTAGTTCTCCATTTATTTGCATCCATTTCTGATTTTCATCTTTTAAGATTTCTAATTTCTAGTCAACCTCAGTTGATTTATCTTCTATTTTTGGATTCTTTGTTGATTATCTGTAATCATCTGTTTAACATTTTCAAATTGAGAGCCCATGTTATTAATTTTTTGATTCATTTTATCAAAATCACTTTTCATCTCCTCATGATTTTTTGTTGTAACCACCATGTGAGTAGCAATTGCTTCTTGAATTGCTTGTAGAGTCATTTGAGTTTCCTGTTTCAAGTTATTGGCCTTTTCTTGTTGAAACATTGTATCAATTGATCTCTGATAGACTGGATTTGCAGAAGCAGAAGAGAGAGAAGAAGATCCTTTTTTTCCAACTCTAGATAAATTAGGGACGCTCATCTTTATCTTTTAATCATATTTTATAATCCACCAAGTAAATCAAAATTTATAATCCAATAGGCTCCTAAGAAACAGGAAAGGTAAATAATAAAAATAGTGAGTGGTAAAAAAGAAAAAGAAAGAAAGAGAATATATATATATATATACCAAAATTTGTAATCCAAAGTGTTTTGTTCAAAGAGATTTCTTATTATCCACTCTTTCAAAACAGGTTGCAAAAATTCCAGGTCAAGCTGTATTTGTAATCCAGGGAAGTCAGATGACTTCAAAAACAATTTTTATTTATAATTGTAATCCATCCTGTAGAAAAGGGCAATCCAAAAAGAGTCTTTTCTTTTTCAGCCACAATCTTCAGGATTATAAATTCCAAGGACACCAAACTGTTTAAACTATAAGCTGTGTCTGGGCATACAGCCAAGTTTTAAAACTCCAATCAAAACAACTCAGTAAGATAAAGAAAAGAGAGAGAGAGAAAGCAAGGTTAAATGTAGTTCTCAGTTTTGCCACTAGATGTCATGAGATGTCTGTTCCCACCATACTTTAAACAAGTTTAAAAAGTTAAAACCAAAGTTAACAAGGAATAAAAAAATATTTATAAGTCCAAAAGTTTCCCAAATTATCCTTCTTTTATGGCTCAGTTTTCTTCACAATATTGTTAACAGTCATTTTTAATTTCCCCAAAGCTTAAACCGCCGCTTATAGTTCAGGAGGGAGGGGTAAAGAAAAAAGCCTCCTCTCCATGGAGCTTGGGGATTTCTTGCTTTTGAATGCTTTTCCCAGAACTGGTATTTTCACTTGCAGAGAGATAAGGAAAGTAGTCTCACCCGGATCAGCTGTTTTGCTTTCCGCTTTTAGAATTCGTTGTCTCTGACGGTCAGCTGCTTCTGGCTGACCACATGGGTGCAGTCAGCTTTTCTTCTTGCTGGTCCCGAGGGCTCCTTTGGATCAAGTGAGTCAGGTGCTGCTGGCCCACGATCTGCAAAGTTTCACCCTTTGGCTAGTAACCTCTACGGGGTGACTTTCAGTCCTATTGGACTCCCCAGCTGGTAGAAATTTGGCTTGGGGAACGGAACTTCATTCTCCAGTGCTTATCTTACAGCGAGGTCATCGGAAACTTGTAATTTCCAATTTTTAACTTGTATCAATGCTTGTCCTTGCTGTCTTTTATGTAATCAGCCAATGCATGCTTTTCTTCTTTACAGTTTGTTGACTTGAAGTAAATCTCTGCCTCTATTTCTATGGGGCAGGTACAGTTATCACTAAGGGATGTAATGTGTAGTTAATAATCATTTTTCTTGCTTTTTGGTACAAACTACCCAGTTAATAATTGGTACAAACTAATAATTTCTGAAGTATTGATGGCTTATTATATTCTGCTGTTTTACATAGACAGTACTCAAAGCATATGGATTTAAACCTTGGTTTTCTATCCAGGCAGCAAGTAAATTGTTTCAAATGTTTATTGTCTTTTAGAAATAAAAATATTATGCACTTAGGTAAGAAAATTTTCAAAGCCCATTTTCCTTATTTTCAATTTGTAAAAGTATGCCTTGAAAAATGTCATTACTTATTTTGCTTCATTCTGGTGTGGTCTCAGTATGATCTTACTCAACTTAAAAACAAAACAAAGTATCCCACATTAATCTATTTTACAAGTAATTAAAATTGTGGTTGCAGTTCCTCATTCATTTATATACCAGCTTAAATCCAAGGAGCGTGTGCTTTGTGGATTCATAGCATCTTATTTAAATAGCAACAAGAAGAGGAAGATCAGTAATAACAATGTAACAACAACAATAATGAATGCAACAATGTGTTTTCCCAAAAGCAAATGAAATACAGATTGAATTGAATTCACAAAGTTATTATTAAATAATAACTATCTAACGCACTGCTATTAAATACACAGCTATTACTTTGGGGAACAAAGGAGAAGTATAAAGTTTGTAAAAGTCACAATAGCTCATTTTTGTAAAATTAAATAATAATATGGTGCTATGTTGAAATGTGGCCAAGGGACAATTTCTCTGTGAAATAATTCTTCACTGAGGGAAGTAACAATGAAAAGTATTGTATAAAATTCCCTGTGTAGTCACCATTTTGTAATCACTACCATCAGCATACCAGTTTGACATATAGGATCATGTCCGATGTACAATATTATATACTAGGATACGTAAACTGAGACTAATCTTACTAAGAGGATAATCTTATGCATGCCTATTTAAGAGTAAGTGTGTCTGGTACCAATACCAATTATACTCCCAATAAAACTGAAATCTTCAAGTTTCCATACTATAAGAAGAACAAGAGCCCTTCAGTATCAGCATGCATCAGATTGAACATAAGGGAAGTTGTCCAGTTAATGCTTGAGAATTGGAGTTTCCAATTACTCATATTAAGTACTAATACCTTGACTGAGTTATTTTTTAACTCATTTTAATTTCCTCTAGCTAGAAGTTAAAAACAGTTATTAAACAGACTATATGTCAGGTGTGAAAGATCTACATGTGAAAGTCCAATTAAACTAATTTATTGCTCATGCCTATACACAGGACTATTTTGGCTAGACCAGGGTTAATGGAATTTAAGGAGAATTGGATTTAGTCCATTTATGATTAGGTTAAGATTTTAGGCTGATTCCTCTTTTGATTCCATTTCCAGTTTCTGCCACTTCTTCTCCTAAATGATGGTTGCAACATTAATGAAATGAGAAAGTAGCCTATTCCATGATACTAAAGTGAACTAAAGCTTTAACAAGCATATGTTAACCATGATTAATTTAATTAATGGAAAGTAAGAGCATTCAAAATACAGCAAGTCATAAATAAACTACTAAGCTTAAAATGCCTTTTAATAAATAATTAAAATTATGTTTCTGGAGAGATAGACACATGTGCATATAAAGTTAAATAAATAAATAGCAGGTTAATAGATTTGAACAATGCTGTAAAATATTATTTTACTAAATTGTAAAAATGGCTTTAAAATTATGTTGGATACTTTCATCAGAGAAGATGTATACTTCTTTCCCTTTAATTCTTTGTAATATTGCAGGTGTTGAACATAATTTTAAATATTGAAATACTGTAATTATACATAAATATTGTAAATATTTTGGATATCTGTAGAATTTGTTTCAAAATATAGATAATATAGGTTTAGTTGGTAATTGAAAAATATGATTTTATATATATATGTAATAAATGTAATATATAATAAATGTAATAAATTGAAATATGTTGCTGGTTGAAAGTAAATCCGATTCAACAGTTCCATTTCCAAGTACCCAATCAGATTAACATTCAATATATTAACCTAATAATAGCTTCCAACATTCTAATGATAGAAAAATAAAATTAAAATATTCTAACATAGAATATACCATATTCTACAATAACAAAGTTTAGTTATTAAACACTTTCAATGTCACATTTGTAACAGAAATAGAAACAGCAAGGGAAGACACTTCAGGGAGAACCTAATCTACATTGGAACAATATCTAATACTCAGGCTGATACATAGTTTACATTATTTAGCTGCAAATCTAGACTGATATCTATTTTTATTTTACTTAGGTCAATGTAAATGGATTTGTTTTCAGCTGAATCATTTTGTTTTTGTAGTGTATATTTACAACGAACTTAACAGAAATATCATTGCAGCAAAAAATTATATCATTAGAAAAGCAGAAGCAGGAGGTAAGTTGAAGCCATCTGAACCTAAATCATTAAGATTCTCCAAAACACATTTCTATGCTTTTCATGGGTTTGTCTGCCTGGAAGGAAACTACACATGAAGAACAAGAATAAAACTGCATGGCAGTCTTCTTGATGATTCATTCCAACTATACAGGCCTGCTTATAGTTTGCCAGAAAAGCAAGCCGAGCAGATCACTGACCTAGCATGCATTTCTGGATGCCAAGGAAGATAATCTGCAACCCAACAGTTACATTTGAAAATTCCTTTCAGAATCACCACATTGTTTATACAACAGATCTCATGTGACTTCAGGTTATATGTTTCTACAAGTGAGATGCTAAAGGGACAATTAAATAATTCCTACAAAAAGGAAAATGAAAGAAATTTAAATAGTTCAGTGTAGATACATACAGAGTTCCCTAAAATCCTGATGAGAAAAAAGGTACATGAATAAAAAATGGGATGTGCAGACAAAGAAGAATGGTCTCTTTAGGAATTTAGCCTGTGTCAGACTAAAGCACAAACTAAGGTTTGCAAGAGACAACAAAAACAGCAAAAAAAATTTCTTTGGGCATATTAGAGAACCCCCGCCCCCCAAAAAAATCCAGTGATAGTGTTGATCCATTGCAAGGAGAAAGTAGTGAATTGGTAGTAGAGAAGAATGAGATAGTAGCACTTCTTAACACCTACTATACTTGGTATCTGTCTTTTAGGAAACTGCTCAGTCAAGCTTCCCCCTGCTTTCCAGGTATTTTGAACTGGAACTCCCAGAATTGTCACTGGGAACTCTGTAGGTTGTAGAACAGGAGAGCCAATATGGTGTAGCAGTTTTAAGGTGCTGGCCTAAAAACTAGGAGACTGTGAGTTCTAGTTCTGTTTTAGGCATGAAATCCCAGCTGGATGACATTGGGCCAATCACTTTCTCTCAGCCCAACATACAGAGCTGTAGGAAAAATAAGGCAAAGGAATATTAGGTATGCTCATTCCTTGGGTTACCTATACAACAATAAAGTAGGAATTAAAATCTCAGAAATAAATTAACATATCTGCAGACTGTCAGAATAGGAAGTATGGTCTAGGTAACTAAGTATATTATATATAAACTTATATATAAAATATACTTTTCATTTTCTATGTGTTATTCACAGCATTTAATTTTATGATTTGATAAACTCACAGTTATGTGGCTTAGTTTTTGCCATATAATTTTAGTTTCATAAATGTTTACATTTTTTTTCATGTAGGAACTTATAGTTATGTTTGACTATATCAAGCATGTTGCTAAAAATTAGATGTGAGCATAATACTACCATATTGTGTGTAACTGAAACACATTATATATGCAGTAAATACATATAATATTTAAAGTTGCTTGTTTGAAATTCCTATTGGATATTTTTCCATTGGTGGTATAATAAATATTCAGACAGAGTTTTGTAACATTCCCCTTTTTAAACACAAGTTTATTAAATTTCAAATCAAAATTAATTTTTTAAAGTCTTTAATAGAGACATTTTGCATGCATTTCATTGAATATATTTTATTTGCATACTTTTTCTCTGATAGAAATAGAAAAATAATAATAATAATTGTATTTCAATGTGCACATTATTCAGGAACTGTGAATTACTGAAGGTTGATTTGTATTAAATATGCAACCAAATCTTTTGCCTGTTAAGACTAGCTCTGCATATTAAAATACCTAGAGTAATTGTAACATGACACCAAGGAGCTGGAGAGAATCTAACTTTCAGAAATGTAAGGGAAACTGCACATCTTGGAAATTCCCACAGGTAGTTTGAAAAATTACTGCAGTAAATTTTGCTACAATATAATATTGACTCATCTGCCACTCCCAAGCTATTCTCTTGCCTGGACTTATATTTATTTTTAATCTCCTGAATTACAGAGTCAATTAAGTATTCTTAAGACATCTATAAAACAATGTAAAAACTCATGAATTCTACAGGTAGTCCTCGACTTACACTTCATTTAGTGACTATGTTACAATGGCACTGAAAAAAGTGATTAATGATTGTTTTTCACACTTAGATCATTGCAGCATCCCCATAGTTATGTGATCAAAATTCAGGCGCTTGTCAACTGACTCATATTTATGATGGTTGCAGTGTCCTGTGATCACCTTTTGTGACCTTTTGACAAGCAAAGTCAATGGGGAAGCTAGCTTTGCTTAACAACTGTCTTACTGACTTAACAACTGCAGTGATTCACTTAACAACTGTGGCAAGGAAGATCATGAAATGGGGCAAAAATCACTTATCAACTATCTGAGTCACAGAAATTTTGGGCTAAATTGTGATCGTAAGTTGAGGACTAGGATATAATGAAAAGGTTGGAAAAAGTAGAATCCATAAAGCTTTAAATGTTTGAGATATCTATAGTTTAAAAGCGATATATTTTCCCTATCATCTGGTGATATTTATAGTTAAAGCCTAGACTAAATGTAAAATATCAATATTGCCTATCTTACTCTCAAATATATAAATACACACACACACACACACACACACACGTTTTAAAGAAGAGTTTTATGCTAATAATATTTGAAAAACTGCTTTGCGTTTAATATAATAATGTAAAAGAATGTAAAACCCATAACAGCATAGCAGTTTAAAGATTATATGGTAAAATAGTGTAACATTATTTAAAAATAATGTGAAAATATTGTGTTAAGTATTGCTCAATCATTTCAGCTTTTGTCAGTGAACTATCAATGGGATCAACTATTCAGGCAGATGAAGCAGCGTTGTGAGAAAAAGGTAAAACAAATAACAATGATGCACTGTTGTTTCAAAGTATGGTCTATTTTCTAAAATGTATAGATATTTTTCCTTAACTTAAATGATATAAAACAGTGTAATACCAAACAGAAAAGAGAAAATATGATTGCAGAGCACATAAAGGCATAAGAGTATAACCCTTTAAACTAAATGAAAATTGCCAGCTATTATTTTGCTATAAAATAGGCAGAAAAATCATTGGTTGGGAATATTCATAATTAATAGTACAGCAGGTAAGCACAAGTCCTGGACTGGGATCACAGAGACTCAGATTCAGGTTCCCCTTTGTCCATGAGCTCATGGAGTGACTTTATCTAATGTTTTCAAGAGAAACCTTACATTTCTGCAACATTTCTCACTTACAGAAAATACATGTAATAACAGTAGCACAATAATGCCATCTTTTAAATTTGCTTTATTAGTGGCAGAAAAAGTATACTTTTATTTCATCAGCCTGTTGTAATTTCCTGCATTCCAATCTTAGGTTACTATACTTAAGTGCTCACCTTCTTTGAAACACAAAGGACTGGGAAATAATAAGACAACATCACAGCAACTAGGGACTTTTGCACTACTTCTGTCACAGGCATCAGTTTCCCTCCCACAGTATCTCAGATAATATACCTTCAGGCACCTTGTAGGAAAAAATATGGCATTTCTGCTGCTGGCAAGAAAATAACAAACAAACAAAAAATGAGCCGACAAGGTAGCAATTACTGAACATCTTTCAAATGCTGCCAGGGGAAGTGCTCAAATGACCTCATAGCACAAAGCCATGTGTTTCATTTCTAACCTTACATTAGAAATTTTAGTAAAGGGCCAAAAAATAGAAAAGGATATTTGAGTAATTTAGTAATTCAAATGTTAATTAACCTAAGCAAGTTTTCAATGTAATTTGCATATGACTTCTTAATAATCTTTATACATTTAAGATTAGGGTATAATTTATACTGTAAATATTCAAGGATTGAAGAGGAGAGGCGGCTTGGGGAGTTTTGTGACTGAAACAAAGATTTTTCTTTTACAACACAGCCATCTGTACATAGGCTTGCCTCTAGTATTTAGTTAATTATTATATTTTGATCTGGTATCCTAGATCTTGACTAAAATACATTTTATTGCCAGTGCTTTTCTTTACATTTTTGAGTGGACTGTTGTGTTTTCCAATTGCTGCTTCCAGAACGAACATCTTAGAATAAAAGAATCATTTCTACAGTCACCTTGTAGGGAAAATGGGTGGCACAAGCAATAAACAAACAAATAAATATATACATAGATATATCTTACAATGTAGTTTTGTATCATGTTGCAGATCACAGAAATGAAAGCAAAACTGGAAACTGTGCATAAGATTGTTAAGAATCTTGAACGAGAAAGATATCAAACACAGGAAGAGTGCAAAAGACTGGGAGATCTGATGAGAAGCCGATTAGCTCAGGAAATGGTAGGAGAATAGGGTGTGTGCCAATGTTTTTATTAGGCCTGGTTTCTACAGTTCATTGTTTGAATATTTGTTTTTAAATGTGTGTCTTGCTTAGTTGAAAAGTGACTGAAATAGCAAGGAGTTACCTTTCACTTGGTCGCTATTGACAAAAGAAAACAAGATTTATATTTATTGTGCTGTCATTCAGAAATATTTTCACAATCATTCACTGCTCTCTTTAATTCAAGAAACTTAATTTACTTTACTTTCTTTCTCATAAAATAGTTTTCAAGTAAAGTAGGAACAACCAGATAAAGTTTTTATAGACCTAGACCGTTTTCAAACTCTTTAATGGAGTTCCCATCAGTTTCATTAAAAAATTTTTTTTTTAAAAAGTAGTTAAAAATGTGCATGTTAAAATTTCAGTTTAGATCAGTATTTCTGAACCTTGACAGCTTAAAATGTGTGGACTCTAACTCACAAAATTCTGCAGTCAAAAACTCTGGGGATTGAAATCCACATAACATAATGTTCAGTGGTGGTATTCAAATATGTGAACAACCGGTTGTCTGTGTGGATACCACTTCCAGAAGTCCATTCTGGGCCTGGGCAACAAAAAATTATCTACCGGTTCTGCCAAAGTGTTGTGAACCAGCTAAATCCCACCACTGATAATATTACTGAGGTTGAGAAAACATTAACAGTGTTATTACACCAAATAAAACATTAGAAAACATTTGAAACTTTTGATAAAATATTCTGCCTCTTTAGTTGCAGCTGGTGCAAACCTTGCTAATATCCATAGCAGCATTTCCTTGTCTAAATTTATTAGTTATTTAATTTTATCTGAATCAGGCCAAAAAGATTTTCTTACCAAGAGGGTTTGTAGAAATTTTCCACGTTATGAAGTAGAAATAGGACAGTGCCATAAACAATGTTTATTTTCCTTGGAGCAAGGGCAGAAGCTTAAATTGAATTCTGAGAAATTGGCTTTCTCTAGTTGCTTATATGCCATTTGCAGGAACCATGGACTTGTAAAAGCCTCTCAGAGGGATCGCACAGTAATGCACCTCAGATAATGTTGGCATTTGATTTTGTTTTCATTAAGTGTGTGCCAAGGGGCAAATTTATTTTGTGATCCTTTAAGCAAATTTCTTTGGACGAAAACATTTAGCAGTTTGTTTTCAACAATAGATTATTTTCATTATTTAAATTTAAAAAGAATTCTGGAGAAAAATCAAAGATATGCATACAATTGCATATTTTTTTTAAAAAAGGTAAACCTGCAAAAAGGATATAGAAAATCATAAAAGCTTCCGGTTGTTGTTTCCTTAGAGATTATAGTCCACAAGAGGGTAAATGTAATAAAATATACTGGAAAACTCATATAAATCTTGGCTGTTTCATCTTCCATATCTTCGCAATCATAATAGCAATGAGTTATGGTATTTCTGGGGAAAGTTGTATTTACTATGAATCTGCTTGTCTCACATGGATATGGCTATTAGGCAGAGAAAATTCCAGGCTATTCATTTGATGAATTCTTAAAGATAAGAGATAGCCTAGTAACAACAGTACATAACAAATGCTTCTAGTTATCCAGCTAAAAAGCTCAGGTGATTGTAACTCTGAGACCCAGATCACTGAGAATATTTGATAGTAAAGTGTAATAGCAACAATGAATAGTGTAATCTCAAAAATATTTTCTTATTTTTCATGTTCTAAAAATTATTAAACAATTTTATTTTACATTGGGCATTTGGCTTCTCAAAGAGCAAAATTATTTACTATCATGGCATCTGGAACATAGTGGGAATTAGTTCCAGTTTTGATAAAGTGGATTTTGAACCAATTGAAAATATTCTTTTCTTGCTGTTCTGACAAAAGCACACTTAAAGAAGTTTTATGTACAACAATAAAACATGCAATCCATTCTCAATTGCCTAATAGGATTTCAGCAGAGCTAGCAAACTGGCTGTCAGGCTACTAATCCTAATAATGTTTACTGAAGAAATAAGTGAACACCATTCTTTATGCATTTTATGGTGAGATTATGAACACGTGTTTTCACATGGTCTTACATGCAGTTTTTCTTCTTGGTCTACCAAACAACTTTGGTTTTATCTTTTCTGTCAGCTGCTCATTTATTTTTGTAGTGGTCAAATTTATCATTTGTCTTGTTTTCTACTGATTGTGAGAATCTTCAATATCATATTTCTTCACAAGAAAACATTTGATTCCAAATTGATTATTTAGGCCAATGTTTATCAACTTTGCCGACTTTAAGATATGGGGACCTCAACACATGCTAAGGGATGGAGAATTCTGGGAGTTGAAGTCCACAAATCCTAAAATTGGTAAAATTGAGAAACACTGCTTTAGGCCTTCTTGGAAAAAGTGAAAACACATGATCCAAGCCTGTCTCAAAAATATAAGCTTGTTCAGAAAGAGTTCTGAGGTACTAAAGAGATAGGGAGCAGCCTCATCAGATGGCTTGTAATGAATTTTGCTATCTCTATGCCCAAGATAATAACCACTTTGCAAAGGTGGCTTCAGTAACTCCTTAAAATTTGAGGTTGCAAAAAGTCCTTAAAACTGCTTGCTGTTGTCCACTAAGTCTGGGCTAATTCATCATTCACATGTTGAACAATCCTCTTTACAAAATAATTGCCACAGATAGCTTGCAAGTCAGGGAGAAAGCTAAATTCTTTTTCTTGATAAATGTCCAAAGAAATGATTTGCATGGAGGAATATTTGATTAGATGAGTTTTGCCCTGTTTGGACTGTTCCAGACAAAGGAAAGACTGCTGGTAAGAATAATGTTCAGCCTCCTAATTTCCAGGAATGGAATAAATTCATCAGGTAAAATAAATTATCGTCCTAAATTATTTACATTATAATTGTGTTCCCATGACATTCAAATGCCATTTGTATTCCAAAATAAAAATGATGGAAGATTGGAGAAACCTTAGGACTTTTAGTAATACCAAAAATATTTCAGAAACATCTCTCAGGAAATTCCCTTCCTCTGAAACAATCCACTGGACTACGCATACTCATTGGACATAGAAGGGTAACTGATCACTAAATAGAAAATAAGCAGCGGGGGAGAAATAAACATACTATCATTTTGTACAAACTGAATACCTAACATTTATTTATAGATCCCATTTATTTTGCTTTTTAGAAGTGTGCTTTGAAATTGAAGAATGATACAAGTTATATAAAAAAGTAGTAGCAAGATTGATTTCCCACAGGCTATATTTCTTCAGTTATATTGCACTATTTATAACATGTATGTGTTCTGCCTAGCCTATGTGAATCCTTGTTATGCTCACAAGGAGAAACCCATCTTCCAAGAAACAGGCTGGAACCACAAGAAAAAACCAATCCCTTTTATTCTCACAGACCTGAGTCAATGACCAAGGCAAATAAACACATTTCACAGAAGCTTGATTCTCCCACACCTTCCCTTTTATAATTCAGTCAAGGTGTGGCTTCCTAATGCCTTCTCCTTTGCCTTTAGAGCCACCCCATTGCATTCCTCTGTCCTACTTGCTTCTCTTTCCTGCGCATTCATGCATCCATGATTTGTCCCAACTGCTCTTCAACACTATCCACTTGCCCAGCCTGAGCGCGAGTAGAGAGGCCAGGCTCCTAGTCCGACTATAAGTCTTGGAGCTCCTCAGAGCCTTCCTCTGACTCTAATGTCACTCCAGACCCCTCCTCCTATTCTGATTCCTCAGACTCAGCTGCCAAATCCACTGGCTGGCGAGGAATCACAACACTATCTCACACCGCAGGACCCTTCCCCCGGGTCTGCCGGGCTGGATGCAGTTGTGAAGGGAACCGTTTGTGGAACGCTGTCACCAACACAGGAACATGGATGGTGGTTGCATTCTCCCAGGTGAACTCCTCTGGTCCATAGCTCTTCCACTCAGTCAAATACTGAAATCAGCCTTTTAGCCAACGGGAGTCTTGAATACTGGCAACCTCATACTCGGGAGCACTGTCTCCGTCATGTTGTTCCAGTGGGAGATGTTCTGATCATTGGAGTGGACACGCTGGTTGTTCTGGGACCAATCGAGACCAGTGAAAGACCGGATGTACCCATAACAACCGTGGCAAAGGTAACCGATAAATGACCAGGTTGATGATGGCTTCAATAGGGAACAGTCCTAGGTACTGGTGGTCTAGTTTCTTTGCAGGCTGGTTTGAGGGCAGGTTCCTGGTTGACATCCACACCCAGTCTCCCACCATTAATGTAGGTATATCTCGCCTCGACTGATCGGCAACCTTCTTGTAATCCACCTTGGCCTTATCTAATTGTCACTGTACCAATTGATGGATAGCCTGTAACTCAGTCAGATATTCGTTAGCTGCAGGAACTGATGAATTGAGCCATGAGAGGGGAAAAAGCCGGGAATGATACCCACATTGGCCAGGAACGGTGTCATATGCATGGAGGTGTACTGTGAGTTGTTAAATGTGAACTTGGCTACCGCAAGATAGTCCTCCCAATTGTCCTGTTGCTGATTCATAAAACAGCAAAGGTATTGTTCTAGGATTCCGATTACTTTCTTGATCCCACCATCAGTTTGCGGATAATGCGCTGATGATAGGCAGATTTTTATGTCTAGAGCCTTCATCATCCCCTTCCAGACATGGGCTGTAAATTGAGCCCCTCTATCTGAAATGACTCTATCAGGGAGGCCTTGCAGCCGGAAAATCTGCTGGATGAATATGCAAATGGTGGTGCGGGCTGATGGCAAGCCATGGCAAGGAATGAAATGCACCATCTTGCTCAGCATGTACACCACCACAAATACTGTCATGAAGCCAGAAGATGGGGGCAAGTCTGTCAAGAAGTCCCTGGACACTGCCTACCAGGTCTTTGGGAGTCGGCAAGGGATAAAGGAGACCTCGTGGGGCCCCCATTACTGACTTGGCCTGCCTACACTGTATACAAGATGTGCCGTAGACCTGGACATCTTGTCATACTCGGGGCCACCAGAATGTACAGGAGACCAAGTTCAGTGTCTTGAACAGGCCAAAATGCCCCGCTGCCGGATTATCATGACATTGGGTGAGAATGAGCCCTCTGAGTGGCCCTCCTGGAAAATAGAGCCGATCACGATATTTCAGGAGTCCATCTGCGAGAGTCCAGGGGAATCTAGGCCCAACTCCTCCCTTCATTGAGCCACCCACCCATCATGCTGTTGTGTCTCCTGAAATCCAAGCCCGTACATCTATTGGTTCCCAAACTGCAGAGAAAGACTCTACGGGGAGAACTGTCCTGGGCAGAAGCTTGTCTTCTGTATGGGAATATTCTGGCTTCCTTGACATAGCATCCACTCTTTGGTTGCAACCGCTTGGTATGTAGGTAATGTGGAAATTGAACCTAGCGAAGAAGAGAGACCACTGAATCTGTTGTTGGTTCAATTTCTGGCTGGTTTTCATGCTTTCCAGATTCTTGTGGTCTGTCTGGACTTCAATTTGATGCTGAGCCCCTTCCAAATGATGCCTCCAGCTCTCAAATGCCACTTTGATGGCCAGTAGCTCCTTCTGCCAGATAGTGTAGTTGCGCTCAGCTGGATTCAGTTTCCATGAGTAGTATGTGCAAGGGAAGAGGGCATTACCAGGCGCATTAGCCTGGAATAACACCGATCCAATCGCAATCTCGGAGGCATTCGCTTCCATGACAAATGGCCATTGTGGGTCAGGCTGTTTCAAGATGGGTTCCTTCATGAAGGCTTCCTTTAAAGCCTGAAAGCCTGTTGCTCCAGGGTATCCCAATGAAACCAGGTCTTTTTCTGCAGGAGCCGAGTGAGGGTCTCAGTCATGGAAGGTTCTATAGTAGTTGGCAAACCCAAGGAGTTGCTGGACATCTTTAACATGACATGGGGGTTGCCAACTATGCAGAGACTCGACCTTGCTCGGCTCCATGGCGATGCCCTCAGGAGAAATGCGATGACCTAGGAAATCAATGGTTGTTTGATAGAATTGACATTTCTCCAGTTTGGCATACAAACGATGATCTCGGAGCTGTTGCAGGACCTGACAGAGATGCTGGTGGTGTGTTTCCCACAAAGGGGAGTAGATCAGAATATCGTCCAGAAGGATTTCTGGTGATGCTGCTGACTAGACGCTGGGGAGCGATTCTCCATTCCCCAGGTCTGAATTTCCTTTGTTGGTGGGCCCATTAGGGCTAAATGCCACCCTGGAGGGGTGGCCACTGAGGGATGAAACTTTGAGGGATGGGAGCCGGCGGGATATGGCTTGCTGAACCCAAAAGAAAGGCAGAATGCATTTACAGCTGATCATCAGAGACAGAAAACAGCTGATTTGGAAAGCAAGCAGCTGGGCCGGGTGAGACTATGTTTCTGTTCTTTTGGCAAAGTGGACTTTATCGAAAAGAATAATCTGTCTTTAACTCAAAGCTGAAAGCTGAAGGGAGGAAAGAGGAGGGTTTTTTGTCCCCCCCCATACAAGCGGCGATTTAAGTGATTTAACCAAGGAAAAGCAACTTGAACTATTTTAAAATTAAACTGGAGAAATTATTTCACTCTTAGAAGAAAAAGAAAACATCTTAATTGGGAAAAGCCACTGCTTTTTTTTTCTATTAGAACTTTAAAAATCTGTTTCCACTTTGAATATTTTTCCAAATAGATCATGACAAACTGATCTAACAGATCCCAGAACATGTCATTCATGAAGTGTTGGAAAACTGCAGGGGCGTTAGCCCAAACGGCATCAGTGTATACTCAAAGTGCCCATACTGGGTGCCAAATGTTGTCTTCTACTCATCACCTGACTGAATCTGAACGAGATTGTAGGCTCCTCTCAAGTCCAATTTCATGAAGATTTTTGCCTCCCGGAGCCATTCCAGAAGTTCGGGGATGAGGGCCAGTGAGTATTGATTACGTACCGTAATGGCATTTAATTTTTGATAGTCACAGCAAAGCCTCAATTCTCCAGACTTCTTTTTTACAAAGAGCACTCGTGCAGACACTGTTGAAGACAAGGGCTGAATAAAACCCCGAGCCAAATTTTTGTCCAGAAACTGCTGCAATGCAGCCAACTCAGGGTCTGACATGGGATACAAACACTCCACTGGGAGAGGCACGTCAGGAACTAAGTCGATGGGACAGTAATATGGCCTGTGCAGGGGCAATTGATCTGCCTCAGTCTCACTGAACACATCAGAGTAAGTTGCCAGTTCAGAGGGCAGAGAGACCACTGGGGAACACACTACCTGGCCAGCACAGACTTGGTGGGTGTGGTCCACACACTGTAAACTTAGAAAGGTGATCAAGTTCTGGGACCAATAAATCTGCGGGTCATGCATCTGGAATCACGCCAATCCCAAGATCACAGGGAAATGCATGTTGGAGGTTATATAAAACTGAATAGCCTCCTCATGCAAGCTGATGGCCATACCCAACGGTTTCATGGTGGCCTTAATTGGCCGAAACAGAAGCACTTGGCCACCAATAGTGTCTACTAACAGAGGCGGTTCCACTGGGCTTTCAGCTATTTGGCCACAAATGCTGCATCCATAAAATTTGTGGTGGCCCCAGAGTCGACCAAAGCATGTACTGGAATCCCATGGCTTCCCGGGAAGGATCAAGTGTGCTGCCAATATCAAGTGCCGTGGAGGTCCAAATGCAGCATCCGAAGGACGTCGCTCAGTGTTGGGGAAGCCCGATCCAAAACGTCTTTTAGGTCGGGCTCAGGGCATTTCCCAACAGATGAGGTTGCTTTCACAGGGCAGGCTCAGTAGCTGACGCCCCACATCATCTCTTGGGGCAGAAGGTGGCCAAATGCCCAGGGTCCCCATGGTAGAAACACAGCCCCCCCAAAATCATCTATTCATTTCTGTCACTGATAGGCGAGGTCTGGCAGCACCTAACTTGACCGAGGGGTCAAGCCAAGGGGGCTTACCATGATGATGAGAGGACAGCAGGGGACTGCCGCTCCACTGCACAGCATGCTGCGCATCTTCTGCAGGATGGCAGGTCAGGAGAGGGGCAGGCTTCTGAGTTCCTCTTGCCAGTGACATTGGAGCTGTCTTCCACCCCCTCCTATGTATGTTGAGCCCACGGGGCTTGACACTAACTCCATAGGCTCCTCCTGTAGAACCGGAGTCTCACACACAAGTGGGACTGCCTGGGTCTCTGGGGTGGCACAACAACTCCTACACTGCTGCAGCCGAGCGTTGATCTGCAAACAGAGATGGATCAACCCTTTGAGGTCTGGGGGAACATTGACATGGGCCAGCTTGTCCAACAGCTCTCCGACGAGCCATCCTGGAAAGCATCCATGAGTGCAACTTTGTTCCAGGCTGAATCCTGGCTAAGCAGCTGAAACTCACTGATATATTCCTATAAAGGTCGTCGGCCCTGCCTCAGAGCTTTCAGGTGTCGGTTAGCGGTCTGTGTCTTAATGGGGTCATCATACATAAGATGCATATAGTCACACCCCCCCCCCAAATTATCCAACAACAGACTGGGTGTGCCCCAATGAGCTGCAGCACCAGAGAGGAGGCTGATCATAAACCTCACTTTACCATGGTTAGTAGGGAAGTTAGCCCCTCTCAGGCTGATAAAAAGCTGGCATTGGCCCCCAAAAGCTGAAAACATCTCCGGAGTGCCATCAAATTTGTCAGGCACTGTGACTGGACACTTCCTTTGGGGTTGTGGAGCAGCAGGAGCGGAGGCTTGAAGCTGAGCAACTTGAGCTGCCAGCAAAGCCAGCTGCTGGGAGAGCTGGACATTCTCCGCACGTAACTGCTCCATGGCAATAGGGGGTAGAAGGCCGAAGGCAAACTGTTCTGTCCCAGCCTACATGAGTCTTTGTTATGTTCACAAGGAGAAACTCCTCTTCCAAGAAACAGGCATGAACCGCAAAAAAAACTTAACCCCTTTTATTCTCACAGACCTGAGTCAATGTCCAAGGCAAACAAACATAGTCCACAGAAACTTGATCCTCAACATGAACAGTTGTCTTTGGCAACCAGCACCTCCCACACTTTCCCTTTTATAATTCAGCCAAGGCGTGGCTTCCTAATGCCGTCTCCTTTGCCTTTGGAGCAGCCCCATTGCATTCCTCTGTCTTACTCGCTTCTCTTTCTTGCACATTCGTTGTCTGTGATTTGTCCCAACTGTTCTTCATCACTGTCCAACTCAGGCTCCCAGCACAGCTGTGTCACAGCCTGAGCGCAAGTAGAGAGGCCAGGCACCTCTTCTGACAGTAAGCCTTCCTCTGACTCTAATGTCACTCCAGGCCCCTCCTCCTCATCTGATTCCTCAGACTCAGCTGCTGGATCCACTGGCTGGCGAGGAATCACAATACTATGGACCACAGAGAGCCAAAGAAGAAATCAATACAGTTTTATCACTCTTTACTGTTTCAAGGATATGCTATGCATCAATTTTATGTTATTTTGTTTCTGAAATGTTTGGCATAAAAACATATAATAATCTGTTAGGGAAAGGGGACAGATTCAATTATCTGTACTTTATCAATGTATTTATATATTTTTCATTCCAGAAAGACAAGAACACATTGAGGAAAGAGAACAGTTTTTTGAAACAGGAAACTACCCTTACAAGCAGAAAGAAGATGTTTTATGAATGTGAAATAAATCGACTCAACAAGGTAGGATTCTTCTTGTTTTAATATTCATATATCTATGTTAAAAATCATACTCATGCATCTTTTGTATCTACTTGGCAATATTTCATTGTATAGTATGTGGATTATCATACAAAGTAATCATGCTATTATCATTCATGATAAGAATAAAAAATGTAAAAGAATAAGGAAAAGGAAACATAATTAAATCTAGTGGACAGCTCCTCTTGGACGATGAGTTTTTCAAACACTTGTGCTTTAGTCATCTTTATCTACAATAGAAACGTGTACTATATATGGAACCCCTTTTGAAAATTATTTGGAGTCAAGCCCACGTAGTAGATCAGACCAGGAAATCAACTGCATATAGAGACTAGAACTACTTTATTGTGATTGGCTATAATAATAGAGTCTGATTTTGCCTACTAGCCTCCCTGGTAAACCAGACAGATTAGATACGCTAATCTTCAACTTTTTTGTAAGGCAAATTAACAGAATATTGCAACTCTGAAGGCACAAACTTCCTGCGCCACTTTTAACTACCTGAATAATTATTAGAGTGGGTCCTTCCTCTGACAGTTGGGGGCTCCTCCTTCTGTTAACTGATTATTTCCTAGGCAGCATTTCTTCCTCTTGTTCCTCACGATCATTTCCACAAACCATTACATCCCGTTCATTATGATCCAGTGAGCCAGGAAGCCATTTTTCTGATGTGCTTCTGAATATTTTTTTCATTTTTCTAGGACTTAAACTCCTTTTGTATAGGTATTGGTCTTGCACATTTCCATCAAGGTCATCTTCCTTACTCTCTATTTAATACAGAAAGCAGCAGCTACTTTAATACGTAAATTTTTGGTCACGAACAGCTAGAAGCCAATAGCTATCTGGATGTTACATATATGTAGCATTGGCAGTAAATAAATATATTTCCATTAGGAAGGCAGCAAAAAACAAGGAATGTATTTTTAAAATAAAAATATATGTTAACTGCTTAACCTGAAACATATTTCCTGTGTAAACGTATTTCTTGAAATAGTGTTCTAAGCTTACAGCTAAGAAATAGGGGTCAAAAAATTACCCAAAAATAAAGTTGTTACATTTGGTTCACTATAAACTTGTAATGATGTGTAGATGGGGAAACAAAATGAGATTTTAAAAAGTCAAAAAGTATAATTAACATTTTTATTTATAATCTAAGGATCTTTGAGACTCAGCATATAGAATTGGAAGCTTAAACAACAAAATTGCCAGCAATAGTTTAGTTTGTGATTCTGTATTTGTGAGAACAGTGTTTGTCTTTACCTTTTTTGTATTCAAATGTATTTTTGGATGTTGCCCATGATTATGAGCCCTCAAATCTTTTTTATTTGAATGCTGAAATTTGTTTATAATTAACAGTATTTTATAAAGTATTATCTAAAAACTAAAATAACATGTTAAAATTAAGTGTAAGAACTATTACACCTGTCACAATGTGGTTTGACTAAGTTTCCATATTGGGCTGAGATATAATCCTCAGTTGCTTGGCATGCAGATGACATCAAATCAGTTGGATTTTGGATTAGTTGGGGAGAAATATATATATGTCTCTTATTGTTATTTGTTTGCCTTTTGCTTTTGGGGGGTTAAATCCCTTTTGGCTATTTTGAAACATCAAAATACATCCTCACAGAGATCTCATGTTGAGGCATTGGATAGAAATTGCAACCAAGAAGTGATGGGAATGCAAATCGAACTTCTCTGGGAACAGGTATGAATAGACAGAATATAATTTTTTTCAACATTCATTTAATTATGGAAATTATGGAAATAGCAGCATCTCTGGGGCTGAGAGGTTACCGTGACTACAGGATTAAAACATGTACACATATTAAAAAGGGGGAGAACAATGAGTGTGTAACTATTCTTGACTTTTTTTTCGTGCATAATTGCAAATGTCCTTATTGGAGACTGCTTGTTCAGAATGAATGTGGGGTTATGTCACTGTGAAATATGAAAATATTTGCTTGTTAGTATGATAGACTAAACAAACTACTGGTAGCCCTTGACTTACAACAGTGATTTATTAACCATTTGAAATTACAATGGGAGTGAAAAAAGTGACTTATGATGTTTATGACCGCTGCAGCATCCCTGTGGTCACATGATCAAACTTCGGATGCTTGACAACTGGCTCATATTTATGACATTTGTAGCATCCTTTTGTGACCTTCTGACAAGCAAAGTCAATGGGGGAGCCAGATTCACTTAACAACCATGTTACTAACAGAATAACAGAGTAAGCAAGTTGAAAGGGACCTTGAAGTTCTTCTAGTCCAACCCTTGCTCAAGCAGGAAACCTATACCCTTTCAGACAAATGGTTGTCCAATGTCTTCTTAAAAACCTCTAGTATTGGAGAACCATAACTTCTGCAGCCAGGTCATTCCACTGATTAATTGTTCTCACTGTCAGGAAATTTTTCCTTAATTCTAGGCTGGTTCTCTCTTGATTAATTTTCATCCGTTGCTTCTTGTCCTGCCTTCAGGTGATTTGGAGAATAGCTTGATTCCCTCTTCTTTGTGGCAATCCTTTAAATATTGGAACACTGCTATCATATCATCCCTAGTCCTAGTACTAACTTAACAACTGCAGTGATTCACTTAACAACTGTGGCAAGAAAGATTGTAAAATGGGGAAAAACTCACTTTAACAAATATCTTGCTTAGATTTTGGGCTCAATTGTGGTCAAAAGTTGAGGTCTATCTGTTTATATGAGAAAAATGCATATTAGAGAATGTTGAAGAAATGAAAATGGGAAAAAATACTATTTAATGCGAAATGGTAATTACAAAGAATGTAATCAAACATCATGATATGTTAATATTAAAAGATGAGGAAATTGATTTTGTTGTAAATTAAAAAAAACTGGTGAAAGTGAGTGAAAAGCACTAAAAGGACTAAACAATAAAACTTCAAATAAGAATAATACAATTTGGGATAAAACTGATTTGAGGGACTGCTGCAAGGTATGTGAATATCAAACATGTTTGAAGATCTTTGTACTGAAAAAAGTTTGAAAGTCATTTTTGTTTTATATTTTTGATATATTTTTGTCACTTTTAAACTTGTTCTGTTATTTCCCTCTCCATTTTCCCGTTATGTTAGTTTATATTTTAATGTTTATGAAATATAATAAAAAAGATTTGTAAAAAGATTTTTTATGTGAACTCATGTATTTTTCATGTAAATATTTTGTTATGTGACATTTATACCCTATAGACAGAAGTGAACAAATCTGCATTTTTGTGCCTCTTTTTATTTATTTATTTATGAGACTTATATACCGCTTTAAGTGCAAGCACTCTCTAAGCGGTGTACACTAGTAAGCAATGTATTGTATGCCTATAGAGATGTTACATTTAATAATGCCAATTGTAGATTCAGATTTATGAAGAAGACTTAAAAAAGGAAAGATACCACAGAGAGAGATTCGGTGAAGAGAAGAAACTTTTGCAAAAACTTAATGAACAATCAAAGTTCCAGCTGAACAAATTAAAATTTCAGGTATGTCTCAAAACAAAAGTATGATTTCCAAAACATACTTTATTCTTAGTTTCTCATTTCCAGATAACCCAAGGAATAGTATATCAGTAACTGACATAATATTTTATGTGAGATCCTCACCTTGGATGAAATCATTCCAGACAGGAATCAGATACCATGAATGGTATTGGTATTGCACCAGTATGATACAAGCTCTGTGCCTTTTTTGCAGGCATCAGGACATTGTATACTTTTACTGAAGGGTGGAGCTTGTGCTGTGACAGTACAGCACTGCTTCTGTTTAACAATATCTGCTTGTGATATTGGTATAATGTGAAATATAATAAATACTTTTTCAATAAAACAGTTCACAAATACAAATGATTTATGCACTCTGTATTGTATAAGAGAAATGAGTTGAATCAGTGAGTACCAGGATAATCTGTATCTAAGACATCTTTGACAGGATTTTGTTCAATAGTTTCTTGATAATCATTGATAAATGGAGGTTTTCATGGCCCTTCTGAGTAATACATGCTATTACATTGCATTTAAAACATAAAACATGAATCATAGGGGTGGCAGGAACTTCAGTGGTCTTCTAGTCCAAACTTCTGCTCAAAATAGGGAGGAGACTTCTACCATCCCAGTTAAATGGTTAATAGAGTTTCACCTTATATTCAATCTAAGTAGCCTGTTTAGTTTATTGAAATGACTGCTCTTGACTGAGGGCTTTATTATAAGAAGTAATATCTCTTTTATTAACAGCACACAATTTTATTCATCTTTTTTTTACTTGGAAGACAGTAAAAACAATCACATTTCTGAGTTATTAAATGATGCAGCAAAAGGACCACCAGAGGGCACAAGAAGTCTTCCTTTGCTTTTCAATAACTGTCTTCTCTTGGCAGATAACATCTTTTCATGAAGTCTTGTTGGTACACAACTAATACTTGCTTCCCTTTTGGATGCAGGCCTGTGTTCCTCTAAAACCCAGCAAGATACTGACAAATGCTTATTTAGGCAAGGCTGTAAGCCTTCTTTTTAAAATTTCATCTTTTAATAAGTTTAATAATTAAATGCCATTTTCATACAGTATTTAATAGTTCTTACACATGCAACTTCTTTCTTTATAGCTGCATATTATAGAGTATATATTTTTACTTCATTGGCTGAATTTCTCCTCTTCACAGATTAAACACTTTCAGACAGAAAATGAACTTCTTCAGAAACAAGTAAAACAACAGGTTTGTTTTTTGCTTTAGATTTATTTAGTGACTCCTAAAGTTGCAGACTATACTGTTAATATTACTATTATGATTAAGCTAAAATTGACTAATATTCAGCTTTATAGTTACTGCTCCTAATAAACTAAAGTTTTTTTAATCCATTATCATTCTTTATATAATTCAATATTTTTATGATGCACTATATTAAAAGCATTTGGCTAGCATACATATATAGTTTAAAGCAATATAAAAATCAAAAATACAAATCCAATGGTATATCCATAATTATAATATAATAAATTTAGAAAATTAAAGTCATAACCAAATTTATGCTTTTAAAGTTAAATTCAGAAATTCTGGGAAGTACTTTGCAATCTTATTTTAGGATAATAAAATTTTGAAAAGTATTTACAAAAAACAACACCAATTATCAGTATATAGATACCTGTACTTGTATAGTATAGAGTAGTATAGTATAGTATAGTGTATAGTGGAGTATAGTGTAGTGTAGTGTAGTGTAGTGTAGTGTAGTGTAGTATATATATATATATATATATATATATATATATATATATATATATATATATATACACACTACACACACACACACACATGTGTGTGTGTTTGTGTGTGTGTGTGTGTCTTTTAAAATACTAAAAATGCGAATCCTGGGCATTATGCTAACAAATAAAAGAAAAAACGAACACCAGGATATAATAAACCAGCCTGTTTAATATAAACAAGCCTGTGGTTAAGAAGAGTCACTAAGCTTTCGTCTGGCCAAAAATCAGAGTTAGAATAGCAGGAGATCAGGAAGGCAGCTCATATAGCCTCCTGCCTCTGCACCACCCATACAGACAGAATGCTACATTATAATAGCAACCACCCAGTAGCACATAAAATCAGCTGCATCCGGACGCTATTTATACGGGTTAATTCCCATTGTAGCATGGGCAGAGCTAAAACTGAGGAGAAAAAAATCTTCATCACATCTTCATGCACAATGGCTATCCCATGGGGTTTGTGAGACAGTATAGTAGACCACATCGAACTAATAGAGACTCACACTCCAATGTGACAGCAATGCTGGCCACACGAACAACCCTCTCTTACATTCATGGTGTCTCCGAGGCCACGGCACAGCTGTTGGCCCCCTACAATGTGAGCATTGCCCACAGGCCCGAGCACACCTTTAGGTCCAAGGTCATGCATCCAAAAGAACTGCTCCCCAATGGTCAAAGATCATCTGTGGTTTACAGAATTAATTGCAAGGACTATGCAAGCAATTACGTTGGGGAAACTACTAAAAGACTGAGGACCAGGGTTCATGAACATGAACTGGCTATTAGAAGGCAGGAGCAATGTTCACAAGTGTGGGCCCATATGTCCAGCTCTGACCACACTTTCGATCTAGTTAACACAGAGGTTATAGCTCGTGAGACTACCAAGGGTGGCCACCTACTCAAGGAAGCCTGGCTCTCTAATGAAAATTTCATCAACTGGCATATAGATCTTTTGCCGGCCTACCAGATGCTTAGGAGATGGGAAAAACAGCACCAAAGCCTGCTGAGAAGACATTTAATTCTTCCTTGCAGGATTGGGGTGGTAGAATGATGGATGAGACAGGCACGATCTCTAAGGAAGAAGATGACAGTGTTTTACATAATTGGGACGATGGCTCTATAGATGGGATGACCATGACTCCCATGGACTGAGATGATGGACTAAATGGCCCTAAGCTAGGGACGGAAGCGCTGAGGCAATCTGGAAGGAGGAGGAGAAAGGGGGAATACAGAGAGCAGGAATGCCAGAACAGCTGCTTGTTGCAGGACTGGGGTGGAAGAATTACGACAACGGCCTTGGGGGTGGGTGAGGATAATGGCCCTGGGAGGGAGAGGGACTGGGCGCAGGGACGGATTGACAGCCGTCCTCCCAGTGCTTGCACATGCTCTAAAAGAGCACTTGAGGATCATAAAACAACCAGTGGAGTTAAAGACAGTTTGCCTGATACGGAACAACTCTGTGCGACATGCATTAACACAATCAATGGGCCAATGACGCCCTCAAGGAGCTGGGCGCAGAGGCAGGAGGCTATATATATAATGTTTTTAAAGATAGTTTGTACTGAACCAAAAAAAACCAAAACCAGCCATAAATACAAGAAATGCAAGTGTGTCATGTTTTTCCAAGAAAAATAATTCTTTCTATCAATGTCATTTTATGTCCATTTTCATATAGGCCCAAGATTTCCAAGCACTTACAGAAAAATATTTCTGCCTGCAGCAGTTGTTTATTCCTTCTTGTCTGAATTGTGGGAATTGTGGCCTACTTCAGCCATTGTCTGAACCTCGAATAACATTGTGCTCATGTGCTAACAGAAAACAGCAGCAGCCCCTGTAAGCTGAGTCTCTGTCAGCAAAAAGGCTCAGAGACCAAACATGTTACAACCAGATTCTGCAAGTGTTTAGTGAGAATTTTGTAATGTCAAAAAATATGCAACTCTACCAGCATGCCAGATCCCCAAAGAAATGCATTTTAATCCTATGCCTATTTTCTACTTCTGTAGCCTTTCTTTGTGATTCTGTTGGGAAGGGGGAGCTTTTGGGATTGCTTTGCACTGTCTGCTATGATGCCCTTTCCCCAGGGGATGGAATGTCTCTCCCTTATCTGAGAGACGGTTTGCACCTGGAGCCTGAAGAAATCAAAAGTGAGAAAGACCTTGAGGAGCCCACCGAAAAGACCAGTTACCAAAACACAATGCCATCTGTGGATTGGCTGGGATTCAAACGAACACTGGGACACTGGGGGGAGGAGTATTGAATTTTGCTTTTAATATACTGCTTCGCAGGTTTTTCTCTCAGACCTTGCCTTGATTCCCTGCTGTCACTAGCCCTTAATAAAAGTTCCTTTTGAGACAATGCCTGTTTCAAGAATTCTGCTTTCTTGGGTGGCTTACACAGCAGTTTAATTTTATTTCGCATTTATTTCTTAGCTATCATTTCATTATACCCTCTTCCATCACTTACCTAATCACTTTGCTTTCTTCTGGGAATTTGATAAGTTTATTATGTAACAGGTAATGGACTCATTTCTACCATCTGCATTTCCTGTACATCAGTTCTAGAAGGCAAAAGAAAAAACATTTTATTCTTATTTTTTTCTCTTGTACAGCTATACTTCTGTATTATTATCATTTTAAAAAGTAAGTTCAGATTATTAAAAAGAAGCATGCTTATTTTTCTCTATCTACAGATATATGTTTTCTGTCTGTTCAGTTAGAATATATAATTTCCACTTTGATGGAAATTATTTTATGCATATTTTAATTTTGTAAACAATTGTACATTTATATATAGTAGCATAAATAAATTGTAGATAAAATATTTTCAATTTGAAGTTATAGGCAGAATTTGATTTATTTTACTACCCTTTAGTTAATTTTATACAACCGTTTGTAAAAGAGATTCTCAAAGTGTATACATGGAAAACTTTCCTTTAGGCCTGTCCTGGCTTGGATTGGGGAGGCAATATCAATTTTAAGAATATTTGAGATAAAGTACAGTCAAATATTAAGAAAAAAGTAAATATGTGTGTGTGTATGCGTGTGTGTATATATGCATGTATATATATCAAGGCAGCATGAAATGTTCTGGTCTATTTCTGATCTTGTTTCTAGTATTTATTTCTCAAGTCAGTACAATCACATGACTTCCTTTGTAGGAATGAATGGCAAAACCTAACAAATTTCACACATCTAACTGTCAGAATAAAGGGGGAAACACCAATTTAACATCAATACAATAAAGGATAATATAAGTCTGTGTTGTACATTTAGGGACATTACCTAAAATGCATTGCTAGGATATAACTGTGCCACAAGAGTAAATAGATTTTTCTATTTCTTATATATTTATGACAAATTAAAAATGTATATATGTACAGGTTTCTCAACCTCAGCAGCTTTATGTCCCAGAATTCCCTAGCCAACATTCTGACTGGGAATACACATATTTTGAAATTGCTAAGGTTGAGAAACACTGATATAATACAAACCAAATTTGAATAATTCTTTTACTGTTTTTCTAACATGAATTTGGAGAAAATGTTTTCCACTAATGTTTTTAAAGTGAGGTTAATTAATTTTGGCCTTTATCCTACAGCTTTCACAATCTGGATCTTGAGCTGTGCAATATATTCTAAACAATTTTTTGTCTTTCTTTAGAAGAAAGTTTCAAGGGTGGACTTGTTTGCTGATTGTCTATTTTATATTCTTTTCTGCAGTCTTTATGATCATTTTCGTACATAATCAAAGCAGATCTAGCATGTATTTCTTTATAATCTGCTAAGCAATTTATCATCAGACATAAAAAGTGTTAGAAGGGCCTCAATATGTAGGCTTAGCGTATGGAATACAGCTCAGTTACTTCATTAAATTATGACTTTCTATATGCCTCTTTTGTATCTCACATTTAATATTTACTTTTTGGTTATCCATGAAAACTTTTGTTTAGTCTGAATGCAAATTCTGGCTCTTTATTCTTTGAAATAGTTTCAAGACCTAATTGTGAAAATGATGTTATTTGTTGTAATGCAGTGTTTGAACATTATTGTTTGGTGTTTTTTGAATATTCAGTAGTTTCATATAGCATTTCATTAAAAACCATTTATACTTTTGGTTGCATATTTATATCTCCACATCCTCATTTTATTTATGCTTTTTTATCCTTCTCTGCTAAAATATGTACTCTGGGTAATTTATCCCAATACTTGCTTATAGTTTTATAGTCTAGAGTAACAAAAGGGAGGGAGGAAAAATGAAAAGAAAAACCAGCTAGAAATTGTTCATTTTGACTAAGCTGTTATTATCCTAGAGCTAATGGAATGGCTTACGATTTCCATCTTTTAGATGGAGTGTAAAAGATCCTTCAGTTATTTGCTTCAAAAGTAAATCAGAGGATATATTTTTATTATCTAATATTGTCTAGATCAATGTTTCTCTATCTTAGCAACACTAATGTGTGTCTACCCCAATTTCCAGAATTCCCCAACCAGCATAAAGTTGCCAAGGTTGAGAATCATTGACCCAGGTGGCTGTTAAATCATAGAAAGTTCCTTTTTTATTTCAATGTGAAAATATTGATATAAATGGATATTAGCTGAAGTTCTTATATAAATTGCCTAGCTGTGGGTACAATGTCATAATTCTACTCAGTTCAGCAATTTGTCCATTTAGGAACAACATCTAAAAATAGGCTGGATTAGAGCCCCAAATCCTGTTTTTCCTGATGAAAACACATCAACAAACACTATATCCATATTGTAATCTTTATTATTCCAGTTCATACACTTGAAAAACAGTAGATAGAGAATAGATAACTAGAGTACAGATGTTTCTCTATGAACATGGGCTGGCTCTAATTGGGAGGGGGAATGCCTGCTTTCCTTGCTGAAAGTCTGGTTTGTGACTATTGCATTTTTAGGACTAAAAAGCCATATATCTAAACTTGAGTGCTACACCAGGTTATATGCGGTGTACTAAAAATCAGACTCCATAGGCTAATCCCATTTTTGTATTAGTTATTTTTTACCTCAGGGGGGAAAAAACTTTACTGTAATTAGGAGTATTCAAAGGTCATGTGTTAAATGAGGAGGAAGTGTTTAAAAAAAATGACAACCAATTCAATCATTTAATTTAAAGTAATTTATACAAACAATTGGCTATTTGATACCCTTTAAATATAATGCTAACTCAAATAGATCTTGATAGACAGAATGTACAAAAGATGTTATAAAGCATTTCTCAAGGAACAGTTACCAAAAGATAAGCAGTTGGACAATTGGTTCATTAGGGTTTAGGTTAGGTTACTTCTTCTGTTATAGTGCATGTGTATCATGAAACAGTAATGAATGGTTTTGATGCTATCATAATTAGAATTTGTGGCTGGCCTTTAAAGGAAATCTGCTATTGTCTTGATAGCTGCTTGAGTAATGTGAATCAAACATAGTTTTTCCTTGAAGGAAAGATAATCCCTGGGCAAATATAGTTTCAATGAAACCAGATATTTTTACAATTGTCACTAGTGTTTCCAAAGTTTTCCTTTATATCAGAAAGTGCATCTTTAAATGTCTGTTATATGATTGGGTAATAGTTTCATATCATACCTGTTTCATATCTGTTACCCAATTTTGGGCAATTTACCCAGGTTTGGGAAGTACCACATTACAGAAATTCCATCCTTTTCTTGAATAAAAATTAAGTACAGGAAAACTTTGAATATAAGAGATTTGGCTTAGTGGTAATCTTTTTATTGTTGAGAAATTTTCCGGGAAATAATTTTGCCACTGGAATCATTCTGCAGCTTGTTCCTTTTAAGGTAGTTTTCCTCTGTAAGTCATCATATTTTCATCTATCCAGGTACCATGAATTCAAATCAAATCAATCTTTATACAGTCCCAGATCAGTATACACTTTTAAACCAAGGACAAGGACTGTGAATTTCAGCTGTCTTAGACAAGGAGGCCAATTTTAAGAGTCATGGGATTAGGTCTAGTGGTCTATCACAACTTTATATTGATTTGATGTCCTGGTTAAAAGAGAATTCTAATTATAACAATAAGTTTTGAAACAGGTAGTACAGCACATAACATTTAGAATATAATGAAAAGTACTGTTCTGAAAAAAAAACAATGTATTACTTTGTAGATGAAGATTACTTGAAAATTCAGTTAACCATTTGTTTGTTTATAGCCTTTGTTTAAAAGAAGTATCATTTTGTACCTATCCAAAAGTGCATTCAGCTCTTTAGTCTTGAAGAAAGCATAAATGTAGGTCCTCCTTTGATACCTGTGAGCTCCAATCTGCTCACTAACTAATTTTTCAGTGCTTACCAGTTTCCATTTCAATCTGATTTTAAGAGTTTTAAATAGCAGATTGGTATGTTGCAATGTAAATTAATCGCCTCTGCATCAACCTTATTTCCAAGAATGTCTTTGGGCTATACATAAGTCCATAAACATTCTTAAAATAAAAAAAGTGGATGACTTCACCACAATACTTCAGTATGAATGTTGTAAGGAGACATGATAATGGACATTCTGAAAGGATAGTGTTACTTCTAATGTGTGTAATGTTGCTGATCACTCCTTCTGCCATTTTGGGACAGCACCCAATAAAATGGATTCTATTGGAACAATTAATCAGTGGGCCAACCTGCCTCCAGAAGTTGTGGATGCTCTAACATTGGAAGTTTTTAAGAAGAGATTGGAGAACCATTTGTCTGAAATGGTATTGGGTTTCCCGGGTTGGACTAGAAGACTTCCAAGGTCTCTTCCAACTCTATTATCCTGTTATTCTGAAAATTTAAAATATATCTATGCCTCCCACTCCATTGCCTTTTAACAGTTTATTTCAGTGTTTCAATTAAGATCTGAAATGAATAGGTTAGCTGAAATACGCATGATTTTGCAAGACCTTTTTTTCCTTACAGATCTTTTTTTTTTTATAAAAAAAATTGTAAAATCCTAACTTACTGCCATCAGAGGTGGAGATTAGAATTTCATCTGTTAGGTCAATATGTTTTAAAACAGCTGAAGGATTTAATCAGAAGAATTGTTTAATCAAAATAAGAGGGAGCAATTTAGGAGTAAATTACTTTGATATGACTAATGAAAAGTCTCACAATATCATTAAATTACCATTTATACTAAACTTTTGTTTGAAGTGTCTATGAAGTCCACATTGCTGTAATAATGTTTTATTGTTCTGCACAGTCAGACTATCAATGGTATGTTCCTGACTGGTTTCCGCCAGATGTGCACCACAAGGAAAATGGTAAGGCAGCAGCAAACACATATTTTAAGTATTTTCTTTTAATGGGTCTTTTTTTTGAGGGGGAGGGTGATAGCTAATAAACTTTCATAAGCACTCAATGATTTGTATACATCTCTATTTGTAAAACTACAGTGCATACATGTGGCTAAGACTATATATTCTAAATATGATACAGCTGTCAGGCTTTTTATTTTAAAAATATGTTATACATTAGAGAATTGTGTAAATAATGATATCCATGGAGAAGAAATGGTCATATAAATATTTTAATCTGAATAGAAGTACCTCTTGACTGATCTTAAGCTAGATGGTGCATCTTTGATTTGTAAAGGAAATAGCCAACTTGTTTTTGCATACTAGAGAGAAATTCACTGCAACTA